TAGATACGCGACCTTGACTAGCTTTTAAATTGTAAAACTTTCAAAACTTCAAGTTGCAATAAGTTGCAGAATTGTAAATATAAATTATTTATTGATTGAATTTTTGTAAGAGTGTTTTATAATAAATAAAGTAGAGAAGTACGAAAACCAAGAGTAAATGGTAACAGAAGAAACTCGAAAATGTAGGAGATGGAGCGATTCAAAGAATATATAGGAACCATGAGTATTAATGCAATTTCTTCTAATTTGATATACATTGTGCAAACAAAAATTTAAATAAAACTCAAACTATTTATATATTCATAATATTTACTTTGTTGCCTTCAAAATAATCCTTACTAGATGTAATACACTTATTCCAACAATTTTTCCAGTCCTCGAAACCCTTCCTCTAAGTACTTTTTTGAATGACTCCTTAATGTCATTCGGCTAATTCACGTTTTGAAAAACATTCAGCCTTATCGGGATGGGTCGGGTAAGAACGCGTTTCATACCCAAAATATCCACCAATATCATTCGAACAAAGAAGACGAAGCAATAGCCTCCGATAAGGGCTCCCCTCTTTTGATGAAGCCCATGATAAATGCATTAAGTATTAAGATTTACGTTGATTTACCTAGAATGTCCAGTCCCCTAATTTAGAAGGTGCCGCTGCTTAACTGGTTGTTGCCCTCGTTAGAGTAAAGGTTGCCAAGGGCACAAATGAGTAGGTCCTTGTGGCATTTATAACAGTATGGCCTCTGGAGAACAAATTCGGTGTGAGATTAGTGGTGGGAGAGATACTCCGTCACCTAGTACTATCGTTCACCCCGGTGAATAATGACAGAGAATTACTATAGGCGCTTAGAGCGCACCAATAAGAGCTACCTGAGCATACTCTTGTAGAACTTCCAGATATGATCTACTGAATCATGCTCGACTTATACTAAAAATATGTAGTGAATACTTAAACAGCCTACGTAGCATATTGTGTGAAATATTTAAGCCCGATGATCAACAAACTGATCGCACCTAATGAGTGCGGCTTTAAAACTGGAAAATCTGCTTTCCACCAAATTTTCACTGTGC